GGTCCTCGATGGGCAGTGGGGGGTGCTGGGTGGTGTGCAGGGTCCTCAGTGGGTGGGGGCGGGGAGTCCTGGGTCACTTCTGGTGCTGCGTGGGGGTCCTGGGTCAGTCCCAGTGTCCTGAAGGGATCCTGGTACCGTGGGTGTGAGTCCCAAATCAGTGCCGGTGTCCTGTGGGGGGCCTGGGTCAACGTGGGTGCCCGGGGTGGGGGTTCTGGAGCTGGGGGACGGTGTCCTGGGTTGGGGACGGTGTCCTGGGTCAGGGTTGGTGTCCCGGGTGGGGGCCCTGGGTGGGTGCTGGTGCCCGCTATGGGGTCCCGGTGCCCGGGGACGGCGTCCTGGCTCAGTCCCGGTTCCTGGGCGGGGGTCCGGGTGGTTGTCTGTGTCCTGGATGGGGTCCCAGTTCCCGGCGATGGGGGACGGTGTCCTCGGTCAGTCCGGGCGCTCAGGGAGGGTCCCGGTTCCCGGGGTCAGTACGGGTGCCCGAGGACGGGGTCCCCTCTCAGTCCCGGTGTCCCGAGAGGGGTTCGCTGCTCGGTACCGGTGTCCTGGGTAGGGGTCCCTATTCCCGGAGTCGGGGGCTGGGTCTGTCCCGGTGTAAGTTCCCGGTGGTGGGGTTGGCTCCCGGTGGGTACCCGGAGCGGAGCGGCGGGTCCCGGAGGGCTGGGGGGTCCTGTGGGTTCCCGGTTCGGTTTCCGATCAGTTCCCAGAGCGGCGGGCGCGGCGGAGTCCTGAGTGTTCGCGGGGCGTCCCAGGAGCGCTCCTGGGCCGGGGGCGGCGGCGGCAAGTGGCGGGGCCGGGGGCGGCGGCGGCTTTAAGCGCTGCCCCGGCCCGGCCCGCCCCGTCCCGGGGAGGGACCGGCCAGGAGGGACGGAAAGACCGCCCGAGCGGCCGGGGGGTGGGCGGCCCGGCCCTCGCTATTTACAGCTCCGGCCTCACACTCGAACCCCCAGACACTGGCACCCCCAAAGGCCCCGAACTTCGGAACTCCCCAAACCTCGGACCCCTGGACTCTGGTACCCCTCAAATCTCGCACTGCGGCACCCCCAGAACCCCGGAATGCGGCACCTCCCGAAACCCCGGATCCCAGCACACCCCGGATCCCTCGACTTCAGCACTGCCGGACCAAGGCTCCCCCAAACCCCGGCAGTTCCGAAAAAGCACAGACATTAGTACCCCTAAATTTCGATATCCCTAAAACGTCAGTAACTTCAAACACTGGCACACCCAAACACGGACTCTTACAAATACAAACACCCCAAAAAGCCAGGACCCACAAACTCCCAAACGCTGGCACCCCAACACCCCAAAACTCCCCAAATTCCCTAAAGTCCAGTGCCACAAGCTCCCAAACTCTGACACCTCAGAACCCCCTGCCCCCGGACATTGGCACACCCAACATTTGCACGCCTAAACTTTGGCACCCTCAAACCTCAGCACCACCAAACCTCGGCTCCCACGTACCCCAGCCTCCCTACACTGAAACACTGTACCCCAAATCCTGGCACTCAGGACACCCCCGAAACTCTGGCACCCCAAAATCTAGGCACCCCTAAACTCCAGAATCCACCCCCAATAATCCCAAATACCTGCAACCTCGACACCCCAAAACCTCAGCACCCTATAGCCCAGACACGCCAACACCGTGTTATCCTGATACACCTGTACCGTGATGCCCCAACACCACAGCCCCCCAGCAGAACAACGCACCCCAAAACCTCCCACAAAGACGCCTCCCCAAACTTACTCGGAACCCCCTCACTCATCCCTTCCCACTTGGGAAGCCCCAAAAAACTTACATAAAAACTCTCCCCCAGCCCCGAGATCCGAGATCCCCCAAACCTTCTCAGGATCCCTCTCCCGGGAAACCCACCGGAACCACCCCCAGAACCACCCCGCCGTGGAACCCCCACTCAGCCCCCCCAGTTGTGCCCCACTGCCCCCCGGTGACTCCAGCCCCGGGTCCCTCGGCCCTGCCTCAGTTTCCCCATCTCAGTGGCACGTGTCTGGGGAGGGGGTTCGGTCATATTTGGGGGTGATCCCTGAACGCCGCTGCCCCCCGAATCTCTCTTGTGTCGTCCCCCCCCACCCCCCCCCCAACTCCAGGCACCCGAGGCCTCCTCGACAGCCTTGGGAGGGGCGCGGGGGGGACAATTGGGTGACCCAGGTCGGGGTCCATTTTGGGGGGGTGATTTGGGGAGTATCATGTTCCCCTTGTTCCCGTGCCTGCCCTGGAAGCTTCCAGCGGGGGGGAGGGGGTTGGTCTGGGTGCACCCCGAGGTGACAATGGGTGACCGGGGGTGACGTGGGGGGTGACGTGGGGGGGGTGACGCGGTGGCGCCTGCGCCAACACCTAAAAATAACCTGCCGAGTCAGAGCCACGCACCGGCACCCAAAATACCCGGGGGGGCACGCGGTGGGGGGGCACTCCCAACACACCATCACCCAAAATACCCCAGGACAAGGGGGCTGGGGGGGGACGCAACGGGCTTGGGGGCGAAACGCGGCAGGGTCCCCCAGCAGGACCCCAAGCCCATGGGAGGTGTGGGAGCGGGAGCGAGTGGATTGTTTGGGCGGGTCACGGTGGTCGGGGAGGTGGGGGTCGGGATGTCTGGGGAGGTCGAGGGTGGCCCGGGGGTGTCTGAGAAGTCAGGGGACTCCGGGGGGGTCAGTGCAGTCTAAGATGGGGGTTCAGGCTGCTGCTGGGGCAGGTCAGGGGGAGCCAGGGGAGTCCCTGTGCCCCCCGAGTCTGGGCTCTGCGGCCGCCGGGGCAGAGGAAGATGATGGTGGAGGCCACGATGGAGGCACAAAGGACCTGACCCCAGCAGTGTCTCTTGGGGAGGGAACACAGGGCAGAGCCGCTGCCCCTGTGCTGACACCCTTAGTCCAGTGTCCCCCCACCCTGTCCCTGTCCCTGGGGTTGGAAGCACTCAGGGTCCTCAGGGTGGGGTGACACAGGGAGGGGACCATCAGCGTGGGGGCACAGAAAGGGGGACAGGGGGACACTGGGGACGTGGCCATGGGGACAAGGGGGCTGGGGCTGGGGCACATAAGGGGGAACGAGGGGTATGTAGATAGTGGGACAGAGAACATAGCCACGGGGACAGCAGGGGCATGTGTGGGGTCACATCCAGGGGGGCACAGAGCAACAACTTGGAGGCTCTGGGAGTCCCGTGGGGGCCATGGGGCTGTAGACAGAGCTCTGGGGGGCCTGGGGGGGCCATGGCTCCGTGTGGAGCTGGTGCTACCAGTGCCAGTGGCTGCCGGGGGCTTGGTGGTGCCTGCACTGGTGGGTGCCCTGAGCCCTGAGTGCCACCTCCAGCCTTTCCTGGGACACCTCCAGGGATGGGCACTCCAAACCTCCCTGGGCAGCCCTGCCAAGGCCTGACTGGTCCCCGTTGTGCCCTAGCTCTGCCGTGGCCCCTGTACCCCCCGTGCTGTGTCTCCCCCTCTGCAGCCCCGGCTCAGTGTCCACAGTGACCACAAAGGGGACATGGAGAGCACACGGGGAGGGACATGGGGGACTCTTTGTGGGTTGTCTGTCCCCTGCATCACCACCCTGTGGCACCCATTTGGGGGATGCCCGTTTGGGGGTGCCATGGGGATGGATGCCCAGCACAGCACCAGCACAGCTGACCTGATCCAGTAAAGCCCAGTACAGTCCACTATGGCCCTGTTCAGCCCAGTGCATCCTGGTACAGTATGACCAAAGCCAGTACAACCCAGCCGGACACGGTACAATCCCATGACACGATCCATTGCAGTACAGCCCAGTGTAGTCCAGTACAAACCAGTACAAAAGAGGATGAGCCAGTATGATCTAGTACAGCCCAGTACATCCCAGTATTGCCCAGTAAAACATGGGCTGGGGGTTCAGCCCACCCAATCCTCCTGTTCCTCCCCTGGCCCATCCCTGAGATTCCTGGCTCCATCTCTGCCTCAGAGCTCGGCAGAACCCCAGGGGTGCCCCAGGGTGGGCACCCCACACACACTCCCCAGGGTGGGCACAGTTTCCCCTGGGGGGTGTCGTCTCCCCCTCCGAGCTCCCCCTTCCCTGGGAGTCCCAGGGTGCCCCAGAGCGATCCCTGCACCGGCCTTTATAGGCACCCCCAGCCCGGGGGGGCCCCAGCGCCGGTAATCCACCCCCACCCCCCCCTAAGCAGCTTCTGCTCATCCTTCCTGTTCCCCGGGGGTGCCCCAGGCTGGGGGAGGGGGGCGAAGAGGGGGGAGGGAGGGCAGGAAATGCTGGGAGTCTTCTGGGACTTGAGTCCCAGCAGCGCACCCCCAAAGTGACCCCCCCCCATCAATGAACCTCGGGCACTGCACCCCCAAAATGAACACCCCCTCATACACCCCACCTCAAGCAGTGTCCCCCCATTTTTCCCCTCCATCCCTTGATACCCCCAGATTCCCCCACCTCACTGGGGATCTCCCCAGCCCAGGGATGCCCCAAGCCAGAACTGGGGACAATCTCTTGAGGGGAGAGACACTTGGGGGGGCACCCTGGGATACTGGGGTGGGGGGACAGCAGGTGACCTCATGAGGGAAACTCCCAAGTTCTTCCCAAGGCATCCATGGCTGGGTCATCCTAGGGAGTGGGATCAAGGCTGGAGACACCTGGGGGACCAGCACAGAGCCTGGGGACCCCTGGAGCACGCTGAGGACCCTGTGGGAACAGGACTAAGGTTGAGGACCTCTGGCCATCGTGGTGGGACCAAGACTAGGCTTTCGAACACCTGGGGACACCTGAACACCCCAGGAGGAGTAGGATCAAGGGGACCCCTGGGGACCCTCCCCATACCCAGTGTTGGGGGGAGCCCTTCTGCCCCCCCCCCCAAAATCCCCCAGAGCACCGGCAATCGGCTCGACCCGGCTCAGGGTGCCGATTAGGCGCTGAGCCCGGCTTAGCCCACCCTAATCCCCAAGTTTGGCCGGGCTGAGCCCTGATCCCCCCTAAGCAGCTTTGGGGGCACAGGGTATATCAGGGGGGCGGGTGCCCCCCCCCACCACCGCCGCCGCCATGGACGAGGACGAGTTCTACCTGTTCAGGAACCAGTCGTCGGTGGGGCCCTGGGATGGGCCCCAGTACCACATCGCGCCCATGTGGGCCTTCTACCTGCAGACCATCTTCATGGGCTTGGTGTTTGTGGCGGGCACCCCCCTGAACGCCATCGTCCTCATCGTCACCATCAAGTACAAGAAGTTGCGGCAGCCGCTCAATTACATCCTGGTGAACATCTCCGTCAGCGGCCTCATGTGCTGCATCTTCTGCATCTTCACCGTCTTCGTCTCCAGCTCCCAGGGATACTTCGTCTTCGGGAAGCACGTGTGTGCCTTTGAGGGCTTTTCAGGGGCCACCGTAGGTACGAGGGGACCGTAGGGGCTGCTGGGGCCAGGGACAGTGGAGGGACCACTGGGGGCTACTGGGGCCAGAGGTGGCCACAGGGATCTCCTGGGGCTGTGGGAGTTGGAGTGACCACCATGGTCTGGTAGGGTTTGAGGTACTGACCACCACATTCTAGTAAAGATTTAGGAGTTGGGGTGATCACCACGGGTTGCTAGGGTGCAGGCATTGGGGTGACCTTCTGGACCTTTAGGCGTTGACCACTGTCATCTGCTGGGACTACAGGAGCTGGGGTGACCACGGGGCTGGAAGTGGGGGTGACCATCATGTTCTTCTGGGGCCGGGGGAGTTGGGGCAATCATTGTGGTCTGGTGGGGCTGAAGGTGGCAGAACAGGTAAGGGCCATGGGTAAGCTTGAGCCCTGTGATCTGGGGGTGACCACCAAGGCCTGAAGGGAGGGGTTATTACTGCATTTTACTGGGTCGTAGGACTTGGGGTGGCCCGGTGGCCCAGGGGGCTCTGGGAATTGGGGTGACCTGTAGCCCTGGTGGCCACGGGGCGTTGTGTGAGGCCACTGGCCTTGTTCCCCCAGGGCTAGTGACAGGCTGGTCCTTGGCCTTCCTGGCCTTCGAGCGCTACATCGTCATCTGCAAACCCTTCGGCAACTTCCGCTTCAACTCCCGCCACGCGCTGCTGGTCGTGGCGGCCACCTGGATCATCGGCGTGGGCGTCGCCATCCCCCCCTTCTTCGGCTGGAGCAGGTGGGACACGGCAGGCACGGGGGGCAGGGGGCGGGCAGGGTGCAAAACAGCTCCAGGAGTGGCAAGTGGGGGTGGTGGGGGTGCCAGGTGAGTGCTTGAGGCACCAGAGGTGCCATGGGGTGCTGTGGGGGCCCCCAGAGCAGGGGCTGAGCGCAGGTGCTGCAGGTACGTCCCCGAGGGGCTGCAGTGCTCCTGCGGCCCTGACTGGTACACGGTGGGCACCAAGTACAAGAGCGAGTACTACACCTGGTTCCTCTTCATCTTCTGCTTCATCGTCCCCCTCTCCCTCATCATCTTCTCTTACTCCCAGCTGCTCAGCGCCCTGCGGGCCGTGAGTCCCGGGGGCACGGGGGGCACAGGGGACATGGGGGGCATTGGGGTCAGGCACACCTGTGGCTGAGAGTGAGGGATGGAGAGTGGAGAGGGACTGGGGGGCAGAAGGGAGGGAGGGAGGGAGGGAAGGAAGCAAGGAAAGAAGGAAGGAGGGAGAGAGAATTGACTGAGCAGGGAGGGAGGGAGGGAGGGCAGGATGGGAGCAGGAGGCAGGGAGAAGTGACTGGAGGGAGGAAGGGATGAAGGGATGCAGGAAGGGAGGGGAGGTTGCCTGGACAGAAGGTTGGGCAGGGGGACAGAGAGGCACATGGGCAGCGGGCTGGGCAGGGGGGTCGGGGGTTGCACAGGGGACTGGGCAGGGGGTCGGGGGGCTGCACAGGGGACTGGGCAGGGTCAGGAGCCCGGGCAGGGGGCCAGCAGCCCGGGCAGGCCCAAGGTGTCCCCGTGGCTGGCGCAGGTGGCGGCACAGCAGCAGGAGTCGGCCACGACGCAGAAGGCCGAGCGGGAGGTGTCACGCATGGTCGTGGTCATGGTGGGGTCCTTCTGCCTGTGCTACGTCCCCTACGCGGCGCTGGCCATGTACATGGTGAACAACCGCGAGCACGGCATCGACCTGCGCCTCGTCACCGTCCCTGCCTTCTTCTCCAAGAGCTCCTGCGTCTACAACCCCATCATCTACTGCTTCATGAACAAACAGGTGACACCAGGGACAGCAGGGACACGGAACGGGGGGGACAGCCCAGACACACGGGAAAGGGGATACCGAGGGACACCTGGTGATGGGGGCATCTAGGGGTGCCCAAGGATATCCAAGGAAACCCAAGGGACGCTCGGGGAGACCCAAGCAGGGGGAACACACAGGGATATGCAGGACACTCGGATGAGGAGAATACATGGCAAGGGGGACACAGAGAAGACGGGGACACCCCAGGACATTGGGGCAACGGGGACACGCAGGGGTGCCCAAGGACATCGGGGGACCAGGGACCCCCGGGGATGGTGCATGCGGGGTGTAAGAGACATCCAGGGACACTTGCACGGCTGAGGGTACCTCGACCCTAGGGACAGGAGAGGGGTCAGTGTGGCATCTGAGGGCGTGAGGATAGCGCCAGGGCTGGACACAGGAGCAGTGGGACCCCCAGGCTGAGCTGTCCCCTGTGCTGTGACCCCTGTGCCACCCGTGTCCCCGCAGTTCCGCGCCTGCATCATGGAGACGGTGTGTGGCCGGCCCATGTCAGACGACTCCGACGTGTCCAGCTCGGCCCAGCGCACCGAGGTCTCCTCCGTGTCCTCCAGCCAGGTCGGCCCCAGCTGAGGGGCTCTGGCACCGCCCCAGCCCCCGGGACCCCCGGCTACCCCCCCGGCCATCCCACCGTGGGGCCGGCACTGCCCCGGGGGCCCCGGCCAGCCTAGGATGTAGCGCGGGTGGGACAATAAACCATGGCCGCAGTCTGAGCGCAACGGGGACCCACTGAGCACCGGGGACCCACGGCACGGGCAACCCAGGGGCAGCTGTGCCCCACAGCAGGGTGGGAATGGGGAACGGAGCTGGCTGTGCCCCATGGTTGGGTGGGATGGAGGTCTTGGTGGTGGCTGTGCCCCACAGCTGGGTGGGGATCCCAGGGGAGCTGTGCCCCACGGCAGGGTGGGAATGGGGAACGGAGCTGGCTGTGCCCCATGGCTGGGTGGGATGGAGGTCTTGGTGGTGGCTGTGCCCCACGGCAGGGCGGGATGGGGGATCCCAGGTGTCCCACTGCAGGGCAGGACATGTCCCAGGAGTGGCTGTGCCCCACGGCAGGGAGAGGGTGGGTCCCAGGGGAAACTGTGCCCCACAGTGGGGCAGGATGGGGCCCTGGAGGTGGCTGTGCCCCCCGGTGATGCCATGGTGGGACTCTGCCCCCTTGTCCCCCTCAGGCCTCACACGCAGCAAGGGCAGGGAGGCGGGATGCAACTACCCAAATCCATCTGTGGGGTGGGACTGAGCCCCCCCCATCCATGGGGCTGGATTCCCTCTGTGGGGCTGAGCCCCACAAGCCCCCGAGGCAGGACTCCCACAGGCCTCGTGTCCCCCCACACTCCCCCCCCACCCAGTTCCCCCCACTGCCTGAACCCTCTGGCTCAGTCCAAGGGGGCTCCCGGTTTAGATCCCGGTTTAGATCCCGGTTTAGATCCCGGTTTAGATCCCGGTTTAGATCCCGGTTTAGGGGCAAACAGGAAATTGGGGTCCATCCCCCTCGGCCCATCGGAGGCTGAACAGGTTTATTGAGTTCAAATCGATGTGGATCCCTTCAATCAGCCTGAGGAGAAAACCGAGGAATAAACCCGGAGAAGGCGAAAATCCATGGCTGGAATTGTCCCAGGGCCCCAAATCCTCAGGGGTGGGAGTGGGGGGGTGTTAGGAGAGGGGCTGTTGTGAGGCTGAGTGGCTGCTCCAGAGGCTTTCCCAGGGTTCCAAAAATTACTTCTGCTGTCCCAAATCCTCCCTGATGTCCCAAACCAAGCCCGACGTTGCCAGATCACCCCCCGCAATCCCAGATTCCCAAGCCCTGCATGGGGCCATGTTCCCAACCCACTTACCACTGGATTTAGGGAGGGGAGGAAAAGGAGGAGCAGAAGGAGGAGGAGGAGATGGGAGGATCTGGCCAGCCCTTGGAAACCTTTGGGAAAGGATTTAAGGGAAAACCTGGGAATTTGGAGATGGCCAGGCCCGATTCCATGCAGCTCTGGCGGCCGCAGGGGGACAAACAACAAATAAGAGAGAAAATCTTGGGAATTGTCCCAGAGTAGGGTGGGATGAGGCCCTCCCCCAGAGGTCTGGGGGGTTCAAGGCACTTGGAGCAGGGCTGGGGGGAAGAGTCTTGCCCAGATCCCAGGGGGCAGCAACAGGGGAGGAGGGTCCAACCTCCCTGGGGTCAACCCCTGGGTCCTGCTGCTGCTCTGATGGTTTTTGGGGTTTTCTTGGGTTTGAATTTTCATTTCAATGTTCGCTTTTTATTCCAATTTCACACCAGTGTTTCCATTTAATTCAATTTCACTTCTTTGGGTCCAATTCAGTTTCTGTTTCAGTTTTTAATTTCACTGTTTAATTCCAATTCAATTTTTAATTCAAATTTCAATCCAATTCAAATTCCAATTTTAATTTCAAGTTTAATTCCAATTCCAATTCTAATTTTTATTCCAACTGCAGTTCCAACCCCAATCCCTCTGTGAATTTCCCACTCCCCCCCAGGCCCCCGGGCCCCGCAGCCCCGGGCAGCCCTGTCGCTGCCCCCACGCCAGGGCAGCTGTTTCCACACGTGGTAAAACCAAAACATACAAAAATAACCCAAAAGTCATTAAAATCCGGGGAAAACCCACGACGAGACGAGCCCCAGGTGCCGGGGGAGTGTGGCTTTCCCGAGCCCCGTCCCCGGGAGCCGGGATGGGGTTTCTCCGTGGCAGGAGCGGCCTCGGCAAGTGACGGAGCCCGTGAGCAGGCGTCGAGGCTAGAACTAGCCATGGAGGCTAGAACTAGCCAGCGAGGCTAGAACTCGTCGTGCCGCACCAGCGCCTCCCCGAAGTCCGTGGCCTGGCTGCCCACGAACAGGTCTGACTTGTCCACGATCTCCTCCCGTGTCAGCTTCCCATCCTGCAGGGAATGCCACGTCCTATTTCCCATCCCTCCATCCCACCATCCCACCATCTCCCCACTCCTCCCATCCTGCTCCCAAACCCCCCCCAGAGCTGCTGGCCCACCTTGTCCTGGTCAGACTCATAGACGAGGTGCCGGGCCTCAGCCTCGGCGTGGTCGTAGTCCGAGGGCAGGATCCAATCCTTGGTCTCCTCCTTGTCCATTTTTCCATCCCGGTTCTTGTCCCGGAATTCCACAAACTGTTCCCGCTCCGTCTTCACCCACTCGGGCTCATCAGCGTCACCGTCCTGGCTGTACATGTCACCTGGGGAGAGCAGCAGCAGGATCAGCCCCACGGCCCCGTCCCCATCCCAAGGATTGACCCAAAGCCTTGAGTTCCCAAAATCCATCCCCAAAATCCCAAAGCACCACGTGGGTCATGACTGCACCCGAAAATCCTCGATGGCACGTGGCGGGCAGGTTGAAGCTGAGACAGAGAACGTTCTGTGAGGGGGAAAGCTGGGAAGGACATGGTGGCAGTGGCTCCCACTGGATGGGACTCTGAGGGGACACAGGACACAGAGCAGCAGCGTCTCACCGATGTACTCCTCCAGGTCAATGAAACCATCGCCGTTCTTGTCAATGTCCTCCATGGTTTCCTGCAGGAAAACACCGGCGTGAGCAATTCCTGCCCCTCAGCCACCACCCGTCACCAGAGCTCCCCCAAAGGCCCCTGTGCTGGCCCCACCTGCACGACGATGTCCTTCATGTAGTCGTACTCCTCGGGGTGCAGGAAGGCCGTGAACTCCTCCTTGGTGGCCGCCAGGTCCCCATCTTTGTCGGCCATCTTGAAGCGCCGCTCGTCCCGCACCATCATCTGCTTGTAGTTGAAGCCATCGTCAGGGTCTGGATCATCTGGGAGCAAGCACAGGGTCAGCTCGGGCAGGGCAAGGACCGTGGTAACCACCAACACAACCTCGACCCAACCTCAACATTCTCAGCTCAACCTCAATTCTAACTCAGCCTCCTCTACTGAACCTCAACTTCCTCTCAACTTCAGCCTCAGGACAACCTCAGTCTCCTCAACCCAACATCAACTTTCACCCAAAACCAACCTCAGCCTCCTGAACAGAACCTTCTCATCCTCAACATCCTAGACCCAACCTCAAACTCCTCAACTCAACTTCGAAGCTCCCTCTCAGCACAACCTCCCAATGCTTTGCCAACAAGAGCTCAGTTGCAGCCACCGCTCCCAGGAGGAGGAGGAGCCGCAGAAGCCCTGGGATCATGACGTTCCCAGGGAGAGGCCCCAAAAGACAGGGCTAGGGGGTTTGGCCAGCACGGCCAGAGGCTCAACCTGAACTATTTTGGGAGGGGAATGTGTAAGGGGATCTCAGTGGCTGCCGGGGCGGCAGCAGGGCCAGGAGGCAGCGGCCGGGTGGGACCGCGGGCCACGCGTGGCCACTTGGCACAGCAGCAGCAGGAGAGGAGTTCCAGGACACGGGGCCAGCAGTGTCCAGCAGCCCTGGAGAACATGGGGGATCCCCTGGATCCCGGGGGACACTGCCACGCTCCGGTTAAGTTAAACCAGAGCCAGGCCCGATCTAATAAGAGGGTACCAAAGTCCCTGTGTCCCTGCTCTGTTGCCTGGGACAAAAGGCAGGCTTTGGGGAGTCCTGGATTAAGGGGCTTGGGTTTAAGGAGCTCCGGAGCATCCATTAAATACCCAAAGATTTTGACTTTAAGGCAGTTGTAGGGCAGAATGAATCCCAAATTCCCCGTTCTGTTCCCAAGGTTTTACCTTGAGAAGCAGCATAGCCCCAAACAAGGAAACCTTCAGGGCCAGCACCATTAACAGATAATTCCTTAATTGCTGTTGGGATAATTAATGGGTTTGAAGGGGGAGTGATGGGAAGGGCAGATGGGTTAAAAAGGGTTAAACCCTCTCAAAGACCCCTAAGTCACTTCCTGTCTTGGTCCCTGGGCTAGGAGAGGTTTGGGGGAGCAGAGGGAAGCGGACAGAGCCAGGGTATTGCTCAGAGTATGGCAGCAAAGCCACAAACTCAACCCAACATCTTGTCTCCTGGGACAAGCATTCCTGGTTTAGGATCCCACCATGGGACTGAGGAATTAACAAAAATTGGACTGATGATGATGATGATAATTGATTGATTGATGAGGATGGATGACGATGATGATAATAATACTCTGATTTTGAAGGGAGTTTCAAAGGAATTTCCAGTGTCAGATGAAGCTCTTGGACATTTATCTTAACTTAACATTCCCAGGACTCCCCCAGCAGAACCCCACACTGCTCTGTGACACTTCTGGGGGCCACTCGGTGACTCACCCTGGTGCATAATCAATTAATTAATAAAACCACTCCGGGCACCTCGTTTTGCTGACAAAACACCACACTCTGGACCCTCCAGAGCAGCTGAGGGCAATGCCTGGCCCCATGCACCACGGGTCAACATTTAGGAGGCACTTCCAGAGGCATTCCAGACCCCCCTCTGGCCAGGGAGGGGAGCGAGGAGAAGACAGGGGAACATTTCAGCAGCAAGGAGCTGTGGAAAAGCAATTCCTGCCGAGAGGAGCCGGAGCCAGAGCGCGAGGCAGGATCCTCCCGGCGCTCCGTAAGGACACAAGTATGTGGGAGCAGCACGAGCCGAGGCTCCACCGGGGCCTGCCAAGGGCACTCGGCCTCCAGGGCTGCTCC